ATTTAGTGTCAAGGTTGGAACCAAATTTCTGAATTGTTTTCCATACTAATGATTTTTTACCTCTGTTGGTTATGATTGATATATTTTCAAGTAACAGAAGCCTTGTCAAAGAAAGGGAGGAAAATCTTACCCAGTTCAAGTAAAAGGAGTACAGTGGAACCTGGAGTCTGTGCACAGTATTCCCTCTTTTGCCCACCCTCGTCTACATTTTCTCTGACTGTCTGCTCCTTTTTTTGTACACAGTTTCCGTCAAAAGGCTCATAGTTTCTAAACCCTGAGCAAGGTGGTTATGTGGTTGAGCATGGCAAAGGACCCCCCAGCCTATCACATATAGATATTTGAGAGAGAAAAGTCAGGGATAGTTGAAGTTCAATGTCAGGAAATCTTGGCCTAAGACTTGACCCCATTTTTCAGGAATTAGACCTCCATGTAGTCATCATTCTATATCTTAAGCTATCTCAAACCATAAGAGGTAGTGAGCAGGACTAAAAACTTTTGCGTGTGCCAAGGGACAATCTTCCACCAGCTGAAGCAGATATCCCAGAGACAGTAGGCTTCACCCCTTTCATGCAGGCTTGTCTTTTAATGTATTTTTAAAAATACAATCCTTCCAGAGTAGCATATTTTTTCTAAACATTTTAGACAACCCCAACCTCAGCATGTTCAAAATGTAGTTAACAATGCAGAGGAACACTTCTCATTTGGTTTGGTTTAGGCATTGTCTTTTTTTTTTTTTTTTTTTTTTTTTTTTTTTCCAACTTCACTGGAAATCCAAAAATAGATAATTTCTGAAATTAAGTGTCTTTATTTCTAAATGAAGAGCTCTAAGATGGCCAGTGACAGATGGTGCCAGGGACCAAATTTGACAACATTGAACAAGTGTTTCTACCTCAGGTCAAACCATTGCAGACAGACAATGGAAGAGGGAGGTAAATCACATATTGGGCTCTATCCCTTCAGGGCTGTGGGTGAGTAATCAACTCTAGCCAAAAATAGTGTATGATTATACCCTGTTGCTTCATTATAGGCCATCAGCTATAGACAAATTCATGTTCTATATTGATTATAAAAGGGGTCAAAACATATTACCAAATATACTCAAAAGAGACACAACTGGCCATTCTAGCATATTCTTTTTGACTTAGATCTAAAACACTAGGTTTCATGAACATTAAACAGTCAAGTAGTTATTGTACTTACCTTTACAGAAGGAATTTTTGAGGAAATTTTGACTATCCCACTAAAGGAGGATTAGCACGTTAACAACAATAACAACAACAACAAGACAAAGAAAATGTGGATTCCTACATCCCTTTCTTCTGCTTGTGGAAGCATCACTCATAGAACCACTTTTGCAATGACCCTGAACCTGGCCTCACAATCTTTCCCTAGACAGCTGTTCTTTCCCAGTTAATTGGAGGTAGCACTCAAGATGGAAATTTTTGGCCATCCCGCTGGTAAACTGAACTTCCTTAGATGTTCACAGACCTTGTCCTACTTCTCTCCATATCCCAATTCCAATGTTTTACTTTCAAAAAAGTGACAACCAATATGTTGTTGTAGATGGATAAGTGGCCCAGAAATCTTAAAAATAGTTTTTCACAAGCAAGTAATTCTCAAAAAAATATGCAAATAGCCAGAATCATACAGAAATAGGTTTACCTTGACTTGTAATTAAAGTATGTGTTTTTGACAAATTATCTTTGGGTACCTCGGTAAATATTGCTTAAAAAGAAATAATATTAATTGTTGGTGAGAGTGAAGGGAAGCAAAACCATATATAGCTAGTAAGACTATAACTTATTAGCTCCTCTAAAGGGAAAATAGCTTATCAAAAATCATAAAAATGAATGATTTGACCTGGGAATTCCACCTGTGGAAATTTATTTCATGAAAATAGATATTTTTGCAGAGATTTTGCTACAAGCATGTTTATTGCATATAATATTGAAAAATTATAAATTAAAGAGTTTAAAATTATTGTAATTAACAAATTAACAATTAACAATTATTATATGACCAACAGTCAGGGATTGGTTAAATAACATTTATGCCTGTCTATATAGTAGTATTTATATTATATATATGTATATTTAGCAGTATATGGTGATTTAAATTATATAAAATTGTATTTATCAACATAGACAAATGTTTATTATATACTGATAAGCAAATGAAAAGAGATTGCAAAGAAGCATTTATGATGTGGTTTTACTTTGTAAGTGTATGTATGTATTTTCATAAACCCAAGTAAAAGGGTCTAGACACGCCAACAAGTTAATATTAACTATTTCTTGACAGATAAAATGATGGGGCTTTTTTTTTCCTTTGTCTACATGTTTTTCTCTGTAATGACCACGAATTGCTTTAGTAATAAAAGGTAATTTTTTAATATTTAGAAACTTGCTGTCCAGGGAAGTTTTTTTTTTATTTGTTTCCCTCAAAAAACTTTTATTAATTTTTATTTATTTAAAAAGTTATACAGAATACTGAAAGAAGATATAAAAATGAACAAGTACTACTCCTATCTACAGAATGCCACTCTTAACATTTTGCAGTATGTACATTCATTTATTTACAGATTTTTTGTTGTTTATTGAGGGATATTTTATATACAGTAAAATTTACCATTTTAAGGTGGTGTGTGTATGATATATGATAAATGTTACAACCACTACAATCAAGATACAGAATATTTCCATCACCCTCAAAATTGCCTCCTCACCTTTGTGAGGAGGTCTCCCCAGTCGCTCTCTAACAATCACTGATCTGATTTCTGTTCTTAGGGTTTCAACTTTTCAAGAATATCATGAACATAGAATTGTACAGGAAGCGGCTTTCTTAATCTGGCTTCTTTCATTTAGCATGATGCTTTTGAGATTCATCCATGTTTCCCTTTTAATTGCTGGGTTATAGTCTATTATATTTTATATATTATTCTATAGTAAGCAAACATTCGAAATCATTCGATTGATTATTCTTTTCAAAAATAGCTATTTCTGCATGTAAACATTAAACCTCCCCTCCCCCACATGGGTGGGGGTGAGGATTTGAAGAGTAAGTCTTAAATGTGGCCCTGTCATTCACACATTCTTTGCTCCTTTTCCTTTTCTCATTCCCCATTTTTCCTTAATTTCTTCCCTCCTTTCTACTAAAACACTGAGGGGAAAATAATGACAAAAGTCTGATATGAGTGGTTGTTATAGAAGACAACTGAGTCATTTCTGTTTTACTTAGATTCTCAGTGTTAGTTTATTTAATCATAAAAGCAATGTATGCTGTTCATTACACCAAAAATTGGAAGAGGATTTTTAAAGGACTAGAAAAAAATGACATTATTGTGGCATACTTAAATTCTATATCTGTTTCTATTCTTGGCACATTGTTTTAAAATCATGCTATATATGCAATTATGTTTTATTTTTCGTAATAGGAGGGCTTCCCAAATATTTTCTCGGGGCTCTCCTTTCTTTAAGAATTGCTGGGCAGGGCGCGGTGGCTCACACCTGTAATCCCGGCCCTTTGGGAAGCTGAGGCGGGAGTATCATTTGGGGTCAGGAATTTGAGACCAGCCTGGCCAACATGGTGAAAGCCCGTATCTACTAACAATACAAAAATTAGCCATGCATGGTAGTGCATGCCTGTAATCCCAGCTACTTGGGAGTCTGAGGCAGGAGAATGACTTCAACTTGGGAGGTGGAGGTTGTGGTGAGTCAAGATTGCACCACAGCAGTCCAGCGTGGGGGACAGAGCGAGACTGTGTTTCAAAAAATAAAAATAAAAATAGTTGTTGTGCCTAGCCTGCATCTGTCTCATTCATTCTCTCATTTAGCAATACTCTTGAAAACCTGCTAAGTGCAAGGTGTACAATGATAGACAAGATAAGCACAATCCCTGTCCTCAGCGAGTGGGTGCTGCCTTGCTTACTCCACTGCAAAAGTCAATAAGCAACATAAGCAGTAACTGGGGAGTGAAGTATGGGTGTTAACTAAAGTCACACAATGAGCAGTGACTGCCTGTATTGAATATGACCTTTAGTCATATTCTCTTTATTATCTCTATGTTCTCTAATTACTTTTCCTCTCTCATGAAAAACTAATAGAATTAGCAAATCATGATTATTGCTTTCGTATCAGGTAGATCATACTAACATGACTAAAATGAATAAGATCTTTACCAAAAAAATCAATTTAAAGAGTTAAAACAAAAAGAAACTCGGTATATTGTCAAGTTCGTCCGTTCCATCATACTTATCTATTGTGTACTTACCAAAGAACAGAGAGGAATCTTTACATTAAATATGTCTCAAATGACAGGGTCTATTTTCAAAACATTTAATGACAGGGGCAGGACAAGGGCTGATCTTTCATAAGGAGACCCTCATAAGGTTACATGTAAATTTTTCAGTTGCTGTATCTGGGAGATCTGGCTGGTACCTCCAGGCAGAGACCAAGATGACTAGTATACCGGGAGCTGTCAGGAGGTTCACGACAGTGGCTATTTTCTAAACAGTGTGACAGTATTTCAACATTTTAATGACCGGTGTGACAGGCTCAACCCTGGAAAAAAATATGTTACAATACTTCAGGTGATTTCTGCTTTAGGGAAAGGCATAATGGTCACAACAACTCTCCTTTTAAAAGAAGAACCTTGTGTGTGATAGATCCTCTATTAATCCAAAAAAGTAGAAAGTTAAAATCCACTTAGTAAAGAATCAGACAGTGAGGAATTCCATGAATAGACAATTGAAATAAAATATAGACATTATAGCAATGCTGGTAGAGATAGAGAAAAACAGGAGAAATAGAAAAGAGGGGGAAAAAAGGCCAGTAGAAAAATCTTCTGGGCTTGATAGAAATCTGAAATATCTGCTTATTTTAAAAGAAAAAAAAAAAAACAGGAAAAAGAGTAATCTTATCATAGCCACATTGGCAAAATGGCACAATATGAACTTTTACTGTGCATGATAATATTTTTAATAGCTTGCTTCCCTCTTTTAGCTTTCCTTATTGGAAAAGGCTGGATTTGGAGGTGTTCTTCTGTATATTGATCCTTGTGATTTGCCAAAGACTGTGAATCCTAGCCATGATACCTTCATGGTGTCACTGAATCCGGGAGGAGACCCTTCTACGCCTGGTTACCCAAGTGTTGGTAAGTTTGTTGTTCATCATTATTATACTTGTAAGTTAGCATTACAAGTTTGCAATTTATAAGTAAATGCTACCTATCGGGAATAGTGATGTCAAATAATTCTTATCATCTCATCTTATTTTTTAAAAAAGCAATTTATTTTTCATATTCTCAAAATTATAGACTATCAATTTGTTGGTATAAATTGGATTTATACTATAATGTATTTTTATCTCAACAAATTACAGTATGAACAGATAGAAATGTATTTTATGTTTTATTGTGGATTGACTGATAAGACAAATTAACACCAGGAGTGGTAGGCACTCCAGGTAAGCCAATGGCGTGTACAAATACCCAGGAGCATGAAATTTCTGCTGCTTTGGTGCAGCTGTAATAACTTTCAGTCCTGGGTCTAGAGGTACCCATGATCAAGTTAGGTGAGTAAAGTAGTAAGAAAAGATGCTAGAGAAGAATGGATTTAATATGCTTTTCTGGCTGTCTTAAGAGAAGGGACCTCATTGTTTTGGCCATCACTGGAAGTATAGAGATGGCTACTTTGCAGCAAATATCTTTCTTTTTCCTAGATAGCTGTGTTCATGCTAGTAGGGATCATGTGGAAGAGAGAAAACAACTGTGATTTTGGCAGATGCTCACCGCATCATTGAATTTCTGTCCAATGTGTCATTGGCGAATATTCTGTTCATTCAACTTGGCTGAGGAAAAAGCTCTTTGAATCTTCTTCCAGGGTGATACTGACCCATTAACCATGACCCTTCAGTCAATAATTAAACTGATCCAAAAAGTATGTAATTATTAATGTGTTCTGCCAATATTTTTTCCCCCAAGAAGATCACAAAAGAATTTACTAGTTCTCTTACTCAAATCCAGCTGCCTATTCTCTCATTGTTAACTTTACCAATTAATTAGCACCTTTTTCCAAGAAGGAAGCAAATTGAATCACATATGAGAATTATAACCTATGAATTTTGTTGCATCTACTGATTATAGATTTTTTTTCTATATGCTACAAAAGTATTCCTTTAATAATCCATGTAAAATTACTCTGAGATCTCCCTGATCTGTACTTTGTGCAGTCCCATGTCTTAGCATTACAATTTTAAATTAGAATTAGTAGGCATCTATGTACAATTTCTAGACATCACCCAAAACACCAGTCAGCTCTCTCATTTGCAAATACACTCACTGTTCTGCATTGTAATTGCTCAGCTTCAGGAAGCTGCGTTTGGCAGTTAACTCACTGTGGCAAGTCAATGGGCTGCAGTGCTACCAGAGAGAGGCTCTGTATGAGTGCTCTATCTTAAGCTGATAAGTTGTTCAGTTGGCACCATTACTCAGCATTTTCTTGCCCCCGGTCATTTCATAAATGCAGAATTCAGTCATGGGTAGCAAGTGTTGGTCAGAGTTGTAAGGAGTTTCAACATGCTTTTTTTCTACTTTTTATTCTAAAATAATCTAAACTTCCTAAAATGGTTGCAAGTTTAGTATGTATAGAATCTCTGAAATGGTTTTATTCTGCCATCACCTTAAATAGCGTCTGGCTTCTTTTTATCCATGCTAATGTTCTTATCAAACAGCAGTACCCTTACTTTCTTCTCGTAAATATACTTTTTCATTCTTTACATGACAAGGTTGCAATTTTCCAAATTTTTCTGTTCTACTTCTCTTTTAATTAAAAATTCCATTTAAAAACATTTTTCACTTCTTTCATTTTACTGTAAACAGTCAAAAGAAGCCACGTAGCACCTTGAACACTTTGCTGCTTAGATATATTCTTCTGCCAGATAACTTAGTTTATTGTTTTTAAATTCTACCTTCCATAAAGTCCTAGGTCATGGACACAATTCAGTCAAATCCGTTGTCACTTTGTAACAACGATGTCCTTTATTTACTTCAGTTTCCAGGACATTGTTCCTCATTTCTGCCTGAGACTTTATCAGAATGGCCGTTACTGTCCATCTTTCTATTAACATTCTGGTCATGACCATTTAAGTAATATCTAGGAAGATGCAGGCTTCCCTACAGCTCTTGTCTTTTTTTTAAAGACCTCACCAGAATTGCTGTTAATAATCCTAGATTTGCTTACAACGATTTAGGCTTTTTCTGGCCTGTTCCTTTTAAGTTCTTCCAACCTCTACCCATTATCCATTTCCAAAGCTGCTTCCATGTTTCTAGGAATTTGTTATAGCAAAAACCACACTTCTGGTTTCAATTTTCTTAGTCCATTCTGTGTTGCTATAATGGAGTACCTGAAACTGAGTAATTTTTTAAAAGCAGATATTTGTTTCTTACAGTTCAGGAGGCTGGTCCGTCCAAGGTCGAGGGGCTCACATCTGGCAAGGGCTTTAATCAGTTCATCCAGTGGTGGAAGGCAGAATGGTGAGAGACTGAGCATCTATGAGAGCAAGAAAGGGCCAAACTCACTTTTATAGCATGCCCCTCAAAATAACGAGCCTACTCTCATGATAACAACATTAATACATGCGTGAGAACACTTTATGATCCAATCGCCTCTAAAAGCTCGCACCTTTCAACATGGTTAAACATGTGTTTCATGTGTTTCCAACACATGACCTGTGGGGTCCACATCCAAATCATAGGAAATGGTTATTAGAGGGACTAATCTAAAACTAACTTTTTTCAATTTAAGAACTTTGTTTTATTCACCAATTTAAGGGTGATAAGCTGTAAAGAAGTAATTTAGAACAACCCAAAATACAAGGAGGTAGTTTTTAACTTTGTTTGTTTGGTTTTTAATATAAACAAAGTAAACACAGTCATTTAATGAACATTCCATATGCCTCATCCAGCTTTATTGACTGTCTACCTTTCTATCATTTTTGTTTTTTATCTGTACATTCCCTCACATCCCGACAACATCAGTATTTTTCAAGGTAAAATTTACATAAATTAAAATCCAGCACGCATACATGTAGGAGAAATTCAATGATGGGTAACTCAGGGTTGTTAGAACTTAGCTCTTATATAATATCTTAAGAAAATATAAAGATATTTAGAATAAATATATAGAGAAGTAACAAGACAAAGGAAAAGAGATTTAGCCTTTCAGGGGTAGCGAACTATAGGAAGATAAATATATGGGTGGAAATTAATAAAGATAAAAGTTTTGTTTGAGTAAGGTTTGTTACGTAGTTCCTTTCCTCTGCCCCTCTGGGTTAATAAGAGTCTCCATTAAAAGTCTAACCCTGACTTTTTGTAAATTGCAGGGGAGGCAGAGAGGGTTTTGTAAGGCACTGGGAGCATCTTCTGTTTCTCAGTTATCTTCAGCTCAAAGTAATCTTTATGCTAAAGTGACATATTTGCGGGTGGCATATTCTGACCCCCTATGACTGGTTTCACCAACTTGCTATAAGCATTTCAACTACACTAAACTATGATCCAAACAAATCTGATTTCCTAGGACCATATATTTCTGGAATTCTAAGAGACTTTAGTGTTTATATAGCAAATATCAATTCTCAATTTAGAAGCACAAGAATCCTGCATTTTAGCCAAAGACTCAGGTAAACGGGGCAACTGATATTTATTTATCTAGTCATAATTATAATCCCAGTGATAGGTTGCAGTTGGAGTTGTATTTGGCCTAAAATCATAAATAAGCTACATGGGGTAAGACCCAAAACAAACAGAAAATCAGAAAGATACGAGGTAAGCATAAAAAATAAGAAAGTAAGAAATATGTATCTTTAAGGAGTATTCCCTTTGGTCTATGTTGAAACACGGAAAAGAAAACCCTTTCCGAATTTCTAAGTGGTAAGATTGTCTGAAATCTGAAGAACTGAAAATAGTGTTAGGAATAACAAATCCTTTCTTCCATATACTTTCTTTAATAATTTATCTTCTGAATTCTGTGTTGGCTACAGTGTTGATTTTAATTTTACTAACACCTCCAGGTAACTGGTAATCTGTTTACTACCGGTTAATTGTTTGTCTTGACTTAGACTTGAATTTCATTATACACCATTTTCAGAAATCCATCCTGATTTAAAGCTTTGTATCCATGTCCCTCTCTCTGGTTTTCTGCTACAATCTTTTTTTTTTTCCTTTTTATTTGTTTTAAATTCCGAAGAGAAAAGTCTTTTCAGTGGTTCTATTCTACTGAAATGTATCAAATGAAACAGTTTATTTAATATTCCCAGTGTTACAATTCAGTGGATCTCTGTGTTGTTTATCTACTGTCTGTTCAACATCACCCCTGCCAAACAAAACTATTCAAAGAATAAAGAGTATCACTGTAATTTGTGACAAGTCATCACCAGGTGTTCCTGGTCCAGTTACCTGGACAAATATCGAAAGACTGACTTGAGTTAGCACTAAATCAACTGAGACAATGTTGAACCATTTCCTGACTAGAATGGCAGAAAATATAAGTATGTGCCTAGTTGTCAAAGCAAAGTGTTAGATATTCACAGCATGAAATGCCTTGTCACTTGGTTGGGGAAAATAGTGTCTGAATTCTTACTATTTCACTGTGAGTGCCTGGTGGTTCTCGTACGTGCTGTGCAGGCTTCAGATTTACATGTAATATTATTCAACTTGATTCTTAGAACCACTTGTGGAATGGCTCATTGTTAAGCAGCAAAATTTTTCTGAAAGTTTATTCATAACGTGTTGAAAATATTGATTGTTTAAATTCAAACTGGTCCTTTAGAAAGTCTAAATTTTGTTTTGAAAAATAATTTGGGTGACATAAGTTCTCTTGGCTCCCCAGAGGGAAATTTACAATTCATTGTTTGAATGTCTAGGATTATAGTCTACAGAGAACATTTTTGAGTGGTTATTGTTCATAAAAAAATCAGTGTGCCATATACTAAATTCATCATTTAGAATGTTTTTTACTTATTATTATATTGGGAGCACTCTACTTTAAATTAAACATGTACTCGATCAATAGAGACAGTTTGTTTTGTTTAAGAACTAAAGTTTCCAAAAAAATCTATGATGAATTCTGATAATGATAAAATCACTGCCAAAAAAAA